GGCAAGCTTCCAATGCCACTGCTTTCTATTAAAGTCAATGAGGGCTGTAGAGCAAGTTGATGACTGGTCTTGTGGACTCACTGTTTGACTCAGGGAAAGTCACTGAGGGCAGGTCTACACTACGGGGCTCAGTCGACCTAAGTTACGCAACTCCAGCTACGTGAATAATGTAGCTGGAGTCGACGTACCTTAGGTTAACCTTTTGTGGTGTCTACACCACGCTGGGTCGACAGGAGAAACTCTCCCGTTGACTTATCTTATGCTTCTCGTTCCAGTGGAGTACCGGAGTCGACGGGAGAGCGATCCGTGGTCAATTTAGCCGGTCTTCACTAGACCCACTAAATCGACCCCCGGTGGATCGAGCATGGATCCCCCCGTAAGTGGAGACAAGCACCAAGTCTCTCCGTTCCTCAGTTCCCCATCTGTAAAAAGGGACAATACTGTTTCCTTTGTCTTCCTTCTCTGTCTAGACTGTAAGCTTTTGAGAATAGGAGTCTCTTTTGGGATAGCTCAGTGGTTTGAGCATTGGCCTGCTAAACCCAGGGTTGTGAGTTCAATCCTTGAGGGGGCCATTTAGGGAACTGGGGTAAAATTAATCTGTCTGGGGTTTGGTCCTGCTTTGAGCAGGGGGTTGGACTAGATGACCTTCTGAGGTCCCTTCCAACCTTGATATTCTATGATTCTATGATATGTACAGCATGGACCATCTAAGCTGTAGTGCACTAATCAAAATAATTAACAATGGTGCAACCAACTTGCAACACTTGGAAAATAATAATTATTTATTATTTTATGTATTATTGTAGTGCCTCAGAACCCTAGTCATGGACCAGGACCGCAATGTGCTGGTTGGTTGGTTGGTTGGTGACTCTTCCTGGTACAGCAGCAAATTGGAACTAAGAATTTCTGGATATAACATTAACCATGCTGCACTTGTAGAATGATCCTTGCAGCATTTATTTCTTACACTTAACCATTTGGGAATGTGTTTGTCACCCTCCTTGCTCCTGTCACATGAGGGGATCTGTCAGATCAGAATACACTGTCTCCATGCTTCTTTCTTGTTCTTCAACTCATCTCAGGCACAAATCTTTTTCAGATGTTTCCCCCATTTGTTTCCATTATTATATCTGGTGCTTCTGGGTGGTAAACAAAAATAAATACCTTTGTAAATGCACCCTGTATTTCCATTAGTTTTATTTATCATACGGCACGTTGGTGCACTGTGGCTAAGTATTTTTAATAAGACGAAGTTGATGAAAATAAATTGCTTTGCAGTTCCTGCTGAGGGTGACAGAAATGCTGGGCCTACAATTTTCTGAAACTGCATTTGAAACTTGTATAGAGTGGGGTCTGCATGCTTGTACATATAATCATCTTTATACCTCCCTGGGGAAAAAAGTCTATTGACTTGTACTATGTCTAAAATCTTTGAGCCAGATTCTCTGCTATATCCTGCTGCTTCTGGGCACAGCAGAAAGAAAGAGCAGTCAGAGAGCCAGTTACATTTGATCCCAAGGCCAGTTTTGGGTCTGCCACAGGAGAGACTAGACCAGGTCAGTCTCTGGTACAAGGAAGAGACTGATTTATATAGGGGATCCTCTTTCCCAACATGCCTTGCTGCCAAGGTCTGGATAGTGTAGGACCACTGAGACTTAAAAGGCCCATACATCCAAATTCAGTCTCCAAGGGACTCTGCATCGGATGGAAATCACTGGCATGCCACTCCCTGTCCCACATCCTGATATGCCCCTATACCAGAGGCTGCAGGAGAGGTGGAATAGGAGCTACCTATGTTAGCTTTATGACCACTCAGGACTTCCCCAAGCCAGGGGAATCCCCAACTATGGAGATGTGGGCTGTCTTTTCTCCCTTTGCATCATGTAGCAGTGCAGAAGCAATAGAGCGGGATAGAGAGCCTGGTCCTATATCAATAACATCTGTACCATATAAACAGTGTTGATACTTATATGATAAATTGCATTTTAACCAGGGCCGGCTCCAGGCACCAGCCCACCAAGCATGTGCAAAAAAGCCAGAGCCAGCCCTGATTTTAACATACTTTTATGACGGTCTCACTGGCAATTTGCCCACTAAACCACCTCTGCCTGGATTAGAGCTAGTCACAATTTTTTAACATTTGATTTTTCAATAAAAATGTTCATCTGATTTTGGATCTTAATGAAAAAAATATTCACAAATTTTCCACTAACTTTTCTTGTGGAATTTCAACAAGCACTAGAGCTTAGTCAGAATTTTTCAAATTTTGATTTAAACAAAAAAATTTCAACTTTTTTCCACTAGCTCTCGGTCACTGAGTACTATTCCGCCCCCCTTTAAAGTAGATCCGAACACCCACAATCTTTTACTGTGTTTATTCACACAACACCCCTGTGAGGCAGGGAAGTATTATCATCCACTGACAGGGAGAGAGTCTAAATCATCTTCTCGTGTCCTTGTCACACACTAGAGGTTTTCCCAGAACCGTGCACAAGCAATGGCTCTTTCCGTTGCTGTAGCGAGGTCCTTCTTCATAAAGGTCTCCCCAAAGAGTCAGCAAATGCTCCATGGTCTGCACCTTACCACACTCGCATATATTCATGTCATTAGAGAACCCTCATTGGATCATATTAGTCTTCAATCTGCATGTGTAAGCGGTTCAGGCATTGCCACATTGACCTGTCTGTATCGGCCCCTCTGGGAAAGTCCTCCTGGGGTTCCAGAGCTATTTCAGTGCGTCTGACTGCGTGAAACCTTTCATTCCATAACCTCAGTTCTGCCTTACCAGCTGTCATATCCAAAGGCACAACACTGGTTATAAAACTCTTTCTCAGTTTAAGTGACTTGCCCAGGAGCAGGGATTTAAACCCAGGTCTCCCAAATCTATAGCTGCTGCCCTAACCACTGGACCATCTTTATTCTCTCCAGGGCTAGTCCTAATATTATAATACTCTGAATAGCTTCAAAAAGGACCATTTAAAAATGCACAAGAATATTTTCCTCTTCCCCACCCCCCAAATTTGGAGTTTCCCTCCCAAATCATACCATTCTGAGGCACTGAAAGGACAATATTCAATCTTGAAGTAATTTTGTTCTTTTCCTCTCCCTCGAAGACCTGTTTGGTTGGACTAAGGGTACTGGAATTAAGGTTGAATTGCCTTATGCACAAAGGAATACAACAATAACTCCCTAAAAAATTGTAAAAGCTCTCTAAAATGTACTGTTTTAAAAGTTTTCCAGTGAAATTTGTGGTATCAACAAAAGATGGTGATGTTTGCTAGTCCTATTTACCTTCATCTCACTGCCCCGGCAGATATCTGCTGTCAGATCGCATGCCCTGCCATGCAGCAATGGAACGCATTTCAAAGCAGTTACCCATTGAGGGAGTGTGGGCTTGCTCCCCTATTACAGTATTCTGAAGCCAAGGGCATAAAAGCCACCTCTGCAGCTCTGCCCCTAAGGGAAATCTGCAAAGCAATCCATTTAGAGAACAAAAGGTCCTTCAGTAAATGACCTCTTTGTGTCACTAGTCTGGGAGGGCCTGCGTAGTAATGCTGGTCATCTCAGACTCATTCCAATAAAAGCTTTATTCTTCCTATACATAATGTACTGTGTGTACACAGAAGAAGGCAGCACTGTACAGTAGCACAGAATCACAGTAGAGATGGGAAAAGGCCTCACTGTTTCTCTAGACCAGTGTTTCTCAAGGATCAGTCTGTGGACCAGTGCCAGCCCCTGAGATCTCCCTGACGGTTTAGGAAGGCAGCAAGCTGGTGCCTGGTATCAAAAAGGTTGCGAAACACTGTTCGAGACAATCCTCCTGCCAATGCAGGTCTGTATCTAGTCCAGTTTTAAATTACTCAGTTGATGGGGCTGCCATTATTTCTCTAGGGAGACTATTCCATGGTCTAATAGAGCTCCACTCTTAGGAAACATTCCCAGATATTTGATTTGTTTTCTTTTGATTGGTGGCATCTCATTACCCCAATCATAATAACCCTTTGGGCTGCCCTAGATAATTCCTCTCCTTTCTTTGCCTGGTATACTTTTGGAGTACACCTCTACCCCGATATAACGTGACCCGATTATAACACAAATTCGGATATAATGCAGTAAAGCAGTGCTCCGGGGGGGGGAGGGCTGCGCACTCCAGCGGATCAAAGCAAGTTCGATATAACGTGGTTTCACCTATAACGCAGTAAGATTTTTTGGCTCCCAAGGACAGCGTTATATTGGGGTAGAGGTGTACTTGAATGGTCAATGATAATGTGCAGTTATCCTATCTCCCTCTTGGGTCCTAATTCTCCAGCCCTTACTCATGCTGTGTAACACTTACATGCAAGAGTAGTCCCCTTGAAGTCAATGGGACTAGTCAAGTGAAGCAGACCTATTCAGCATGAGTAAGGGTTGTAGAAATGAGCCCTTACCTGAGTGCCCATGCTAGACATGTGTAGTTTATCTTTGTCAGAAATCAGCCTGTTTATTTTCAGCAGCTCTCCAAATTCCCTCTTGTTTGTCGACATTGTCTGGTACTGAGGTGTCCAGAACTGAGCACAGTTATGTGAGTGTAGTTCCTCCAAAGCTATTTCAAAAAAGGAACTATCACCATCCACCTTGGTTAATGGCCTGATGTCTCTGCATATGCAGCCTAACTCTACATTCGCTTTTGCAGCTGCCATATTAGGCTGGAAGCTCATCTATAATTTGCTGCCCGCTATCCGTCTTGATCTTTGGAGGAATTATTGCTTTTCAGATATCATCCCTCTACTGGGGATGCTGAAAACTGAATTTGTTCCATTGTTTGGAATCACTGAAACTCCTGGAGTCCAAGCAGTGCTTGACTCCAACCCTGTTAAAAATGTTCACAGCTGCTAATTTCCCAATTCTCTCGTTTCACAGTATTTCACACATGTTTAATTCCTAAAGAGAGAGAGACAGAGACAGACAGAGAGATCTGTGTGATCATGTGCTAACAAAGGCCTGTCTTCTTTTTTTCCTAGGTATTTGGTGCTAGAACATGTGTCAGGTGGGGAGCTCTTCGACTATCTCGTAAAAAAGGGAAGATTAACGCCAAAAGAAGCCAGGAAGTTCTTCCGACAAATCATCTCTGCTTTAGACTTCTGCCATAGTCATTCAATATGGTGAGTACAGCAGGTTTATAATGGGTGGTGACTATGGCTTGGAAACGCATAACAAAGCAGTCAGTGGGGCTGGGGCTCCTTATACTTCTGTTTGCTAGTAACTAGTTAATGTTGTAAAGCTGTTGGGGTCCAAAAGTGCTGCATAAATGCTGCTGCTGCTACTTCTTGGCTCTCTCTGTGAACACACATCGGTCACACATAGACTGTTCATGCAGATTGTCCATGATTTTCCTTTGGATCTGTTTATAATATATGTAGAAAGGCTCATTTCTGGTTTCCATTGGAAAGCAAGCCTGCTGTTCCATGGTGAGCATGATGGGAGGGGGCAGCTGCTGTCACGTTCATTTATAGTGAGTGCTTTAACCAAGAAAATCAGATTCCTGGGGGACCAGTGTTTCATTTCCATGAGTCTTGGGGGCACTTGCCAATAACCGAGAATAATATGTGCCTTATCAAGACTAGTCCCTGAAGAAACTTGGGACAATTATCAATACAACAAAGTCATTTTATGGCCTCCTTGGGTTAGAGGGAAACCTGCTGGCAGTTGGCAGCCCTGCCTGGGCCCCTTCAAGGCATTTGAGTCACTGTTGCCTTTAATTTCCTTTCCAGTAGGGAGTAATTTTCTTTATCAGTCTGTTATTGTTACATATTAACTCAGTTGAATGATTTAAAGCATTGAGTGGGGTTTAACCTGTAACTTTCAGATGGCATTTTAAATTGAACCAGTTTCCACTTCAGCTTTAACAAGTTCGGATAATTTAAATTATACTGAAATTAAGTTATTGCAGCCAATCAAATCACAGGATTTCTGTACAGTTACTGACCTGTAAGTGCACGCTTATTTCTCAGTAATACAATTCCATGCACTCTGATTGGCTAAGGTGCTGTGATTTACATAATGACTGCACAGTTGTGTCTTAATAACTACATACAGCACGCAGATTCCTCCATTCTGATAGGCTGAGGGCCATTGTTAGACAATGAGAGCACAGCGATTTGCATAATGACTGTATAGTTATTTCTCAGTAATCGTGCAATGATTATCCATATTCCTCAGATTTGACTAACTACGGTCTTCAGAATGCCCCATACAGGGCTGTCAAGTGATTAAAAAAATTAATTGCAATTAATTGCACTGTTAAACAATAATAGAATACCATTTATTTAAATATTTTGGGGTGTTTTCTACATTTTCAAATATATTGATTTCAATTACAACACAGAATATAAAGTGTACAGTGCTCCCTTTATTTTTGATTACAAATATTTGCACTGTAAAAAAAAATATATTTTTCAATTCACCTAATACAAGTACTGTAGTACAATCTCTTTATCATGAAAGTTGAACTTACAAATGTAGAATTCTGTACAAAAAATATAACTACATTCAAAAATAAAACAATGTAAAACTTTAGAGCCTACAAGTCCACTCAGTCCTACTTCAGCCAATCGCTCAAACAAACAAGTTTGGTTACAATTTGCAGGAGATAATGCTGCCCGCTTCTTGCTTACAATGTCACCTGAACATGAGAACAGGCAGTCACATGGCACTGCTGTAGCCAGCATCGCAAGATATTTACATGGCAGATGCCCTAAATATTCATATGTCCCTTCATGCTTCAAGCACCATTCCAGAGGACATGTGTCCATTCTGATGACAGGTTCTGCTTGATAACGATCCAAAGCAGAGCGGACCAATGCATGCTCATTTTCATCATCTGAGTCAAATGGCACCAGCAGAAGGTTGATTTTCATTTTTGGTGGTTCGGGTTCTGTAGTTTCCACATCTGAGTGTTGCTCTTTTAAGACTTCTGAAAGCATGCGCCACAGCTCATCCCTCTCAGATTTTGGACGGCATTTCAGATTCTTACACCTTGGGTCGAGTGCTGTAGCTATTTTTAGAAATCTCACATTGGTACCTTCTTTGCATTTGTCAAATCTGCTGTGAAAGTGTTCTTAAAATGAACATGTGCTGGGTAATCATCCAAGACTACTATAACATGAAATATATGGCAGAATGCAAGTAAAACAGAACAGAAGACATACAATTCTTCCCCAAGGAGTTCAGTCACAAATTTAATTAACACGTTATTTTTTTAACGAGAATCATCAGGATGGAAGCATGTCCTCTGGAATGGTGGCCAAAGCATGAAGGGGCATATGAATGTTTAGCACACCTGGCACATAAATACCTTGTGACTCTGGCTACAAAAGTGCCATGTGAATGCCTGTTCTCACTTTCAGGTGACATTGTAAATAAGAAGCAGGCAGCAGTATCTCTCGTAAATGTAAACAAACTTGTGTGTCTTAGTGATTGGCTGAAGTAGGACTGAATGGACTTGTAGACTCTAAATTTTACATTGTTTTGTTTTTGAGTGCACTTATGTAACAAAAAAAAATCTACATTTGTAAGTTACACTTTCACGATAAAGAGATTGCACTACAGTACTTGCATGAGGTGAACTGAAAAATACTATTTCTTTTGTTTATCATTTTTACAGTGCAAATATTTGTAATAAAAATAATAATATAAAGTGAGCACTGTACACTTTGTATTCTGTGTTGTAATAGAAATCAATACATTTGAAAATGTAGAAAAACATCCAAAAATATTTAATACATTTCAATTGGTATTCTATTGTTTAACAGTGCGATTAATTTTTTTATTGAGATTTTTTTTTTTAGTTAATCACATGAGTTAACTGCAATTAATCAACAGCGGGAGAAGGGATAGCTCAGTGGTTTGAGCATTGGCCTCCTAAACCCAGGATTGTGAGCCCAATCCTTGATGGGGCCATTTAGGGATCTGAGGCAAAATCAGTACTTGGTCCTGCTAGTGAAGGCAGGGGGCTGGACTTGATGACCTTTCAGGGTCCCTTCCAGCTCTATGAGATAGGTATATCTCCATCTTCATATATATATATAGATATATATATAATACATCCAGAGCAAAAATGGCCACCTAAGTGTCTGATCTGCTCCCCTCGTTGTGTAAATAACTGGAAATTTCTAAGGGAATGTATTATTTACAGATGGAAGAGGGGATCTAAGCCTTTTTCAAGGAGCTGTAGGGCGATATTAAGAAGAATGGGGTAGGGTGGGGAGCAGTTCAGAGGTTGAGCTGACCACATTTGTGGATTTCGAAGTTCTGAGGACAGTACGCAGTCAGCACGGACGGGTTTGTGATAGTCAACAGAGCATGGGGTGAGCTGACAATGAACAATAATAACATGAGGGGTCAATCCAAAACCCATTGAAATTAATGGCGAGACACACACACACACACACACCAATTGACTTCAGTGGGCTTTGGATCATCAGACCCAGGAAGTTTTCTCTGATGGCAGATAATTCTAAACAAATAATTTGTTCTGTGAATGCCACATCTTTTTCTCCTTGCAAATCACTAGTGGGAGAATCATGATTTTTCTTAACATTTCTGAGAATAATTTATGATAGATTGTTCAGGAGCAGTTTGGGTAGTGTGGTCCCAGGTAGGTTTGATTGGACACATAGGTTGTTTTTGTTCCTGACCAGCAGAGCATATCTCTTAGAGGCCATGATTCGGGAAAGCATTTAAGCTTGCTCCTAAGCCCCATTCCTGAATAGGGAAGCTTTCCTGTGTCTGCCTAGAATCAGATTTCAGGTGTCAACTGTCTCACTTACAAATTCAGAATTCATATTCTGCAAATATTCTCCATTATTCTCTTATAATTGACGGTCTCCACAAATATTGCTGCTGGTAAATTCATTCGCTCGAATATTCACAGGAAGCACACACAAAAAAGGTGCAAATGCAACTGATGGTAATTCATTTAATAATTCAAACGCATATTAACACAGATGTTTGTGGTCTTCGGATGACTCTTGTGGGAATGTATATGTATCTACTGGCAATTAGGTACTATTGTGACAAGTGTGGCGCAGGTAGATAGATGGACAAATGCCTTCTGGTGTCTGCCTTTAATAAACGGGGCTGAGGGTGGGGCTGAGGCCGTAGAAAGAGTAAGTAATTCTGGAGAATTAAGGGTCTCTAGCGAATTTTCAAAGGATGGTGAATGCCTCTTTTAAAGATCCCCAGCTACCGTCTTCAACACATTTGGGTGTTGAGGCAATATCTTTCTTGTTAAGAAGTGAGTCTGTTTCTGTGATCTCCTCCTCAACCCCTACTCTACCACTGTCAGTGCAGAGTCAAACGACAGTGAATCAGGAGCACCCCCCTCCTCCATGAGAACCGTGCAGCTCCTGAGATGTGAGAGTCTGAGCAGTCACCACCAAAGGTTTTTTAAAAATCAGGTTTGTAAATATATAATAATTAATTGTACTTTCCTAAGCAACGAAGCTTGACCTTGCCCTGTCGCAGGGCAGCGAGATGATAAATCATCTCATCAGCCGGGTTATCCAGTTATGAGCACACTGAGTAATGAAGGCTTCTCCTTTGGCTAATGACTGGATGTGAGTGCCTCTAGCATGCTAGCAGAATAGATTGATAGCTCTGTGCCCCCCACCCAATATCATGCCACCTCTTCTTCCACCATCCCCAGGAGGGAGCAACCAAGCACAGAGAAATTCTTAAGGTTTACAGTTTCTTCAGCATCCTGGTAAGTTCTTCTTTCACTGCTTTGAATGTATTAATGGCTCAGGATTCCTGGATGAGAGACTCTGAAAGGGTTTCCCCACAGTGGCCATTGATGCGGGGGGGGGGGGGGGGGGGAAGCTGTGCCTTCAACCACAGGCAGAAATTGCCTTTGTCTGATGAAGGGTTTTCAAGGAAACAGCCCCAGCAAGGAACAAAATGGATTTGTAATTTGCTTGTGTTTTTTTAATGTTATTTTAAATCAGTATGAGCTTTCTGTTCCCATTTATTTTTTTTAATGGGAGTGTAGTGGGAGCTTGGAGCGTCTCCAGTCACAGTCACTGTACAGGATTTTGCAGTAGGGTTGGCTGTGGGAGAATTCACAGTGACCCTAGTTATAGCCCCACTCAGGAGTGCAGGAAAT